TTCTCTAGCAAAATACACCAGAAGACATAGAGGAAGCAAATGAGCTTGTGATCAATGAGGGCAGTAATCTCTGTGAGATAATGAGCAGCAAATCCAACAAAGTGAGACGGTAATGGTGCAGAGAGAATTGGAGATTTCTTCATTTGATGAAAATGAACCCAAGGTTCATCACTTGGATTGGGGAAGCCTCTTCATTGGTAATTTTAAAATCTGCATTCAAAGTCTTCATACAGGAATCTGTTGTTATCCTTACCCCTTTCAATAACGCGTCTCGACGGAGTCAGAGCCCTTTTTAACGCAAGGGAGGAATGAAGTGGAGCATTTTAAAGCTTAAAGTATTCCTTAGGATATCTTATCTAGTTTGTTAGTACTAGCTTCTAGAATCTCTTTAGCTTTATAAATATCAAGTATTGTAGTTAGGATGGCTCATTGAAGAATATTATGACATTTTAAAGCTTGAAGCTTTGTTTCTCTTCTTCCCTGGATTGGGACGAAATCCTTCTTCAGGTCGATTCTTCCACGATCCACTACATCACCAACTGTTGATCCTGGTTTCACCCCTCAATCAATCCAACCCACTGCTTGATACTAAACTAATCTCTCGCACAACTGGCAAGCTCACCTGCACGAAGAGAATGCATCACACTTGAGAGCCAAATATAGAGCTACACTTAAATAAGACCCAGGAAACCAGTAAGAAAATGTAGTAACATACATCAGCCTCCAAAAGAGCCTTCTAAGTTCACGCATGGGTTCAGCTATGTTCTCCTTTGTTCAAAACCTCTGTATCGCCAGCACATAAATGCAAAAGATAAATCAACAAAAAAAGTAAAAAAGAACAATTATTGTTCAGAAGAATAGTAAAAAAAATAAAATTTCTAACCAACAACGAAAAAAGTTCAAAGCTGTTTAAAACCAATAACTCTTTTCACTTCTTAATCTGCTCTTTTGTAAATTGTAATACAACTATGCGTATCTTCTTGATTTAGCAATGCAAACAATTACAGTAAGGCAATTATAGCAAATAAAAACAGAATGCAAGAAATAGAAAAATACAGTAAAGAGAATGAGAATTTACAGAACAAAGAGAAGAGATAATGCCTTTCCTTTGAGTTTACTCCATGCTGCTTCAAGCCCACTTGTCAACTGCCCAAAACATCCAGCCCTAACAATGAAGCTTTAGGGAGCAAAAAGAGAGCGATTTCTTAAGATGATCGGAGCTATCTCACTGTGAAGACATTATTCTCCCCGAAGAACCGTGAGAGAAGCTTTTGCCAATCCACGAGAAAGAAAAAATTTGCTGAAACTTTTAGCCTTCGCACCCTTCTCGAGCAAATAAGGCAGCGCGAGGAGAAAGAAGAGTGACGAAGAGAGATGCCGGATGAAACAGTCGTCAAACCCAGCGTCTCCATTGGCGGGGTTACTCAGTACAGGTTAGGTTTGCGGGGAAAAATTATTAGTGCGGAGTGCAGACGGGGTGAGAATCGTCTGCACAGACACAAGAGTTACCGAGCGTACCCAGGCCGTCGAGTGGTACCAAACGGTATCTGTTTTACTAGTGTTGCAGACGGTTCATCGTCCCTGCACTCCGTACCTTAATTAATTTCTTCGGTTTGCGAGGATAAGATGAGTCAATGCTCCCTGTTTGAAATTGTCCGAAAATATTCCAGCGAGATCCTTAACCCTCGGATCGAGTTAAAGCTTTAGATCGGAGAACAAAGGCTCTAATGAGT